CGGCAGTCCCGCCTGCCCCCTCCCCCGGCCCCCGGCTCCCCGAATGCAAATCGCTGCTTTGCCTGGGCCGGGGGCCAGGCGCGGGGGCCTGCCAGGGGGCGTGGCCCGAGGCCCCCGCCCCGCCGCGCCGCGTGCTCACCTGGGGAGTGTGGCAATCGCGCCGCGCCGAGTGCTGCCCGGGTGGGCGGGAGGGAGCAGCGGAGCGCGCTACGGCTGCGGCGACGGCTCCGGCGGCGGCTCCCGCGGCGGCGGCGGCGGCCGGGGGCGGGAGGAAGGAGACCCTGGCTTCCCCGGGGGCCCGGCTGGGGCAGCCGCGAGGGGCCTGGGGGGAAGCTGGCTTTGGCCCCGCCTGGGGCAGGATGGTGAATCTGGAACCCATGCACCCAGGTGAGGGGCGGAGGGCGCGAGCTCTGACAGGTGTCACTGTGCTCGGGCAGGGGCGAAGGACAGGGGCGCCGCTCTCGGGGGTCTTGTTCCGCAGCGGCCAGGAGAGGGCAGTGTGGATAGCGGGTCGCCCCGAGCGGGTGGGCGCAGGGTCCGTCTGGGGGACTTTGGGGAAGAATGAAGGTAGGGGCTACGGTGGAGGGTGGGAGGGCTTCTGAAGCCTCGCATCTGGAGAGCGCTGGCATCTGGAGAGCCGCAGCCCTGTGGGACCTGGGCGTGCTGAGCTGTGGTAGTCTCGGGGAAGTTGCCCTGTTCACTGGTTGCAGAAGGGTGGCTCACTGGCTCAGCCAGGGGTGTGGACCTTGGAGTGCAGAAGCGAGGGAAATACGTGTATCCACATGTTGCGTTTGGTGTCCCAGGCATTTATGTGAAGTTTAGGGAGAGTGGATATTTGTAAGGTCTAGGGGGTGCCTAGGAAAAGTGAGTGGAGCTGGGCATTTACAGAGGCACACCTGGGGCAGGTGCCATGGTGCACATGTATTGATCAGGGCCTAGGGAAGCATGTGTCCGTGTGTGTCAGAGGTGAGTCTACCTGTCCCCATGTGTGTTGGGAGAGGAGGTGGAGCAGAACCCCCCCGTGAAGGTGTACCTGCTCCCCTGCTCCGTGAGTCTGGGCAGTGCTGTAGGCTGGTGCGCGGCGGGGCTGGGGAGTCCGCGTGCAGGGGCTCAGCCAGAGCTCTGTGGGACCCACAGGAGGAGCAGCCTGCACTGGGCCCTGTGGGAAAGCGCTTCCATCTCTGTGTCTGGGGGGTGGGGTGGGCAGTGAGAGATACATCCTCTGTGGTCCATGTCACATGGATGTAGATACCAAGCCCTCCTTTCCTCGGGGGTGGGAACCTAGGCCACGGCCATGTTTCTCCGGGAGTCAGTTCCCCCTGCGTGAAAGGTCTACGGGCAGGAGTGAACCAGGACCCCGCCATTCACCCTGCTGGTCCCTCCTTCCACAGCCGGGCAAGGACCAGAGCTACTAATCCTGGAGGCTGGACTTGGTGTCGGGGTGGGCCTTCTGGAGGTCTGAGGGCCTGCGCAGAGACGGACTGACGTGGAGAAAGCTGAGCCTGATTTGGCCATTTCAAACCAGCAACTTGCCTCTTAAAGGGGGCAACCCCCAATGAATGACCTTCATTAAGGACTTCAGGGCTGTTGACGGGAATTTTGTTACCTGCTCTCCTTTCTGGAGGAAGAGTGAGGGAGTCAATTCTCATGACCTACCCCAAGGAGCAGGGCAGGCTGGAGGCTTTGGCCCTTCCTGGAACCGCCAATTCTTGAAATCAAGCAGCAGTGGGTGCACAGGGGAGACCCAGTTTCCCAGACGCAGTCCTGGTGGGGCTGAGTGAAAACCAGCAGACGGTGAGGTGTTAGCTCTGAGTGGATCCCCAGGTGCCCGGACATGCCAGGGAGGGCTCAGTGTGGCGGAAAGAATCATCCAACTGGGCATCATCCAATGGTTGGGGAAAGTCCATTTTCAGACCTTGTAGCACCAGCATGGAGCTGGACGTAGCTGGGGGCAGATCCCGGGTTCTCCTTCCTCCACTTTCTACCAAGAAGGCCTAGGTGTGCATGGGAGCAAAGCCTGAAGACACGCCCCCCAGTGGGAAGTTCTTTAGGACCGAGATCAGAGACTTCCTGGGGGGTTTCCACCTCATTGTCTACTGGAGGCTCCAGTTCTGGGGGAAGTGGGAGGAGGGGGCGGCAGCTGGGACCCAGCAGGGAGGCCGCCTGGGGGCTAAGAGGATCTAGCAGAGAGCAGGAAAGAGAGGGTGAGGTTGAGGTGAGGAGGCCAAGCCCTCCATGCCTGGCCTGGGAGGAAGCTCCAGGCTGACTCTTGTCAGAAGCCCGGGCACCTCCCCCAGCCCTGTCCCCTGCAGGCAGACACAAAGGGGGTGATTGAGCTAAACCCAGGGTGCGCTGACTCCTCAGGTGGGTTCTCCGTCCACCTGTTTACCTCGGGTGGGTGACCTGAGTCATCTCTCTACCTTTGCTTGCCACTGCTCCCCAGCCCGCTTCTGTAGTCTATCTCCCCTCAGGGCTGTCTGGCCTCCCTGTGAGGTTTCCTGGCCCCTCTGTGGTGTCTGGTTCCCCTTTGGAGACCTCAAAGGGATCGCTCAGTTTGGGACTTTCTGTGGGGCCTCTCTAGGTCTCCATTTGAGGTCTCCCTTTGCTGGGTCTTCTCAGTGGGCTTTTTAGTCCAGGGTCATCTTTGTAAAGTCTTTCATCGAGGGCCCTGCTGTGGGGTCTCTGAGGGAGGATCCTTCTATGGAGTGTCTCCCTGGGGACCCCTCTCTAGGGTCTCTCAGTCCAGGATCCTCTCTGTGGAAATCTGGTCTCTTCTGAGCCCTATTTTTCCCCTCCCACTGATCCTGTGTCCTGCGGATGCTTTATAAACAGCACTTGCCCTGTAAATCCCCAGTCCTAGGCCCTTGGATATTCCCCCTCCATGGATCTACTGCAACAGTTTGGGGGGGGGGGGGTGGAGAGGGAGCAGGGGCACACAAAGTAGTGCGTAAGGTCCCCCACTCAGCAGCTCCGCAAGCACTGTGGCCCCTGAGTCAGCCCGTCTTTTTGCTCTGATAACCTGGGTACCAGCCGTGATTCAGGTTGGCCTGGGACCTCAGCACTTTGTATTTTGTAGAACACCTCTCACGTGGGAGCACAAACACCTGAGCAGGCATGAGGTCACCAGACACAGGGGCACCCTGGCTAAGGAGGGGCTCCTCCCTCCCAGGCCCAATGCAGGTAGACAAGAGTCAGACAGAAAGTTCAGGAGGGAGAGAAGAGATGGAGGAAACAGTGGGAAACCAGCCAGAGGGGGACACCTGGTTAGTCCCAGAGCATCTCTTTTTTGCCCTTTTCCTCACTGTGAGCTGTTCTCTATCAGCGTTGGGAAAGGAGGATCGAGTCTCCCAGACTGATACCAGTTCCAGCTCAGGACCATTGGGTTGGAAGGTCTCTTGAGAGGAAGTGCATTTCTCTTGAGGAAGAGGCGAGAAGCATCTCCTCCGGGGAGAGATGGAGCCCTGGCTAGCTCACAAGTAGGACCGGTGGGCCCCTCTGCTAGAAGTGCCTGCAGCAGTGGGTGTGGGAGGGAGCTCCAGTCCCTTCTGAAGAGATGAAGATGGACAGTAGGAGAGAGAGTAGTGGGCCTTTTGCTTTCCTGGCATAGCCTGGACCCAGGAGGTCCAGGACAACGTGGACACTCAGCCTGCAGCCTGGGGAAGGGCTGCCCCTTGGACTTTGCTCCTGCAGGTTCACACACACATCCCGGTTCACAGATGTGTAAGGAGGGGCTGCTGTTGGGTCATGCCAAGGCACAGGGAGGTCAAGGCCAGCGGCCAACATGTCGCTCCAGCTTCAGAGGGTGACAGCGCCGGTGAAGCAGATGAGGGGCTGAGTCTGGTATCTGGGTTCTTACACGGACCAGCTGAGCCTCCCCAGGGAAGGGAGTGATGGCAAGGAGCCTCCTCAGTTGCCAGCTGAGATTAGAACAGCAGAGAAGCCTGACCGCACCCCACATCTCTCTCACTCACCTCCGGCAAGTGCTGTCCGACAGGCGAAGGGTTACGGCGTCTCGGCGAGTTTCGGTGTTGGCCCATTTTTAGACTGAGACCCAAGAGCTCGTCCCACCCATCAGCCTCGGCGTCCTTCCCAACAGGAACAGGTTCTCAGTGTCTTAACATCCTACGGGAATTAAGAGGTTTTACAGATCATCTCAGCCTGACCCTCCATTCAGACTCAAATCCCTGTCCAGTCCCAAAGTGTCACAATGTTGCTCCCATAGTGGGTACATCCAATGAGTAGATGTCCTGGCAGAGTATGGAGCCTTTGACTCCTTCCAAAGTTAATTTTAGACATGATTAGGACTACCTTTTATGCTAATTTAAAAGATCAGAGAGATGGCTTTTGGGTAGAGTTAAAGGTGGTGCAGGGAATGGGTGTTGGAGGAGTGTTTGGGTTACAGGCATAGAATTATGGTTTAGCTAAAAAGTCACCCTTCTTAAACGTCAGATGTTTGAAATAAGTTGAATATTATTCAGAATACCTGGTCATCATCCCACCCTCACTACCTCTTAAACTCTTCTTGTCCCCGTGAGCGTTTTTCCCATGAAGTCAGAATTTGGAGAATGCAGATGGCTTCCCAGGTAAAGGACAAATTATGATACTGCTTAGACAGAAGAACCAAAGCTGTTTACTGTAATGGGAGAAGGGGACTCCAATCGAAGCCTAAGTATCTGTTTAGTTAATTCATTTATCACGTGCTTCCTTTGTGCCAGGAACTGTGCCAGGCGGTTTTCATTCAGTATCTTATTTGCTCCTCACCATAACTCTGGGACGTATCATTTTTCTCATTTTTTTTTTTTTTTAGCTGAGAAAACTGAGGTTCAAATATGTGGCCAGGTCCCCCTGTGCTAGTTAGGATGGCACTGGGATTAAATCCGGGTCTGTCTGCTGTCAAAACCCATGCTCTGAATTCCCGGCGCCACTGAAGCAGGTTTAAAAGCCCACTGAGAGGGCTTCCCTGGTGGCTCAGTGGTTGAGAGTCCGCCTGACGACGCAGGGGACACGGGTTCGTGCCCTGGTCCGGGAGGATCCCACATGCCGCGGAGCGGCTGGGCCCGTGAGCCATGGCCGCTGAGCCTGCGCGTCCGGGGCCTGTGCTCCGCAACGGGAGAGGTGGTGAGCACTCACCCCCTCCCGCCCCTTCCCAGCAGTCTCTGACGTTTTCTCAGCACTGTTGAAGGATCCCTATGGGGAAGTGTGACTGAGCTGATCTATAATAGGCAATGCCCAGCTCCAGCGTGGGACTTCATGGGTGGGACGAAGCTAAGCCCATTTCCCCACTGGAGCAGAAAGCGTGGAGTGGCAGAAGCCCTTTGCAGACGTGTCCAGGTGGCCCACACTAGTTACTCTGCATATTCATGCATGACAGACTGTACAAAAAGTTTCAAACTGCAGCAGGAAGGACTTTGGTTAGGCTGGAGAAATGCCTTCTTAAATGTAGTGCACTGAGAGGGGTGGCAAGTGTGGCTGCAGGGTTTCCCCTAGAGGTCTGTAACCACGCAGGACAGTGTTGATGTCTGGGGAGGGCTGTACGGAGCTCCAAGTATTTACCTGGGAGTCATCACTTTGACCGATCTCAAAACTATTCCTCAAACTACAGTGGCTCCCAAGGTTGCTTGCTCCCTCCCCTGCTCCTGGGGTGTTCCAAGGGCTGGAGAACCTCGGGACTCCCCATCTCTGTCTTGCTTGGCGTGGCAGTCACCCCTCCTGCACTGCAGTCACTACATCCCCTGGGACCACACCTTAAATCTCTGCCAGAGCCACACACATCATTGCCCTAAAAAAAAAAAAAAAGAAGAAGAAATAAAAGTTGGTTTCTTCCTGCTTTTCCTGGGGCGGAGGTCCACCCTGCTCCCTCATCCTGGTCATCTCCAGACCTCAGGCATCCAGACTGTCAACTGCCCAATTACGTGGCCCAAATTAAGACGGCCTGCTTACCCAGGATTGGCTGGGGGGCCGGGTATGCAAATTGGCTCACCAAAACTTTATCTGGTTTGAAAGAGTTAAAGTGCTGCCCCAGAGAAGCCGGTCCGGGGGGGGGGGGGG